AGCCGTTTCTGTCTTCGCAGGCTCAAACATGACATGATCAGTCGTAGCTCTGCTGATGCATAGCCTGCTTGCAGCCTGAGCCCTGGCAGTATCTAAAGAGACTTCTTCCAATACCAAAACTGGCAGCCATGTTTCGCAGCGGTGCCTTAGAGAAGCTGCTCTCCTTGGAGGCGGAGCAATCCAAGCAGTTGGCCCACGACAAAATCGCCAACGAGAACGGCCTCGGCTTCCGTGTGAAGGGCAGGGTGACGAAGCTGTGGAACTTGCCCAAGGACACCAAGGCGATGGTTGCTGGAGGACTGGTCTGAGAAAGAGTCCTCTCGGACAACGAGGAGGACATCAACCTGGACTGGTTGAACCTGCTTCTGAGCTCAGCTTTGTCCTGCACGTGTCCCCCAATGAGTCCGTGCCGCCAGTGCCCAAGGACACAGAACCGCTTTGAGAACGTCCTCGACCAGCAGTAGTAAATAAACCCTCTGGTTTCAAGTCGTGGAACAATGCGGCTCGGGCCAGCTGGTAGCATCAACAGATGTTTATAGCTTACCCAAAGCTGAGCCCTGACAGTATCTAAACAGATTTCTTCCAGTGGCAAAACTGGCAGCCATGTTTCGCAGCGGTGCCTTGGAGAAGCTGCTCTCCTTGGAGGCGGCGCAATCCAAGCAGTTGGCCAACGAGGAGCTCGCCAACCAGAACGGGGTGGTCCTCGGCTTCCGTGTGAAGGGCAGGGTGACGAAGCTGTGGAACTTGCCCAAGGATACCAAGGCGATGGTTGCTGGAGGACTGGTTTGAGAAAGAGTCCTTCCGGACAACGAGGAGGACATCAACCTGGACTGGTTGAACATGGTGCTGAGCTCAGCTTTGTCCTGCACGTGTCCCCCAATGAGTCCGTGCCGCCAGTGCCCAAGGACCCAGAACCGCTTTGAGAACGTCCTCGACCAGCAGTAAAATCAACCCTTTGGTTTCAAGTCGTGGAACAATGCGGCTCGGGCCAGCTGGTAGCATCAACAGATGTTTACAGCTTACCCAAAGCTGAGCCCTGACAGTATCTAAACAGATTTCTTCCAGTGGCAAAACTGGCAGCCATGTTTTGCAGCGGTGCACATAACATGTTTATCGATTTTTTTTCGAAGGAAGTTTGGCCTGCAAATGAAAACACAAAGAACATGTGGTGCCGAAGTAAGATATAAAAGTATGACTTGGTCAAGGTGACAATGGAAACATAAAAGAAGCTTTGATTGTGTCTGCTTTTTCCTTTCCTTACCCATGCTGCGGGGTGGCTTCAATACAGCCACCCCACAGATGGAAGTACGTCATATGTGCGAATGTTATTATACCTGTTGCTTGGTAATCCCTGATGATACCTAACAGACTAAATTAGATTGGTTTTTGAGCCGTAGTGAAGTAGTTTTGCAAGTATGACTTTCCGGGTGCCAAAATGACCGAACGTCGAATTCCTCATACCGTCGTGTTCTTCGTACCTTTGGTGCCCCTCCAACAAAGCCGCGTTAAGACCGCCCTCCAGGGCCCACGCCGTGCCGACGAGGGCAGCACCTGCACCCGCCACGGCC